TACCCCACCTCCTATATCCACCACTCCCTTCTCTTTGCTTTTATGAGTTCCCAAGTGCATGTTCTTTACCACTAAGCTTTTCTGCTAGTATTTGAATCTGTTTACTACTCGATGTGAGGCCATGGGTGAGATACTGTGGGCTGCATACAAAATAGAATAGGATGAGGGTGGCTGTGAGTCTAGACATCTGAATCTCCATCTTCATTAAGGAAGTCAATATTTGTTTGCAGTATATATAGAGTTATTTTTTTTACAGATATAAAAATGTGAAAAGGAAAAGCTAAAAGAGCCAAGAGCGTGTGTATTGGGGGAATGGTGAGAAGAGTCTAGACAGGGTGGGGAGAAATCCTTGTTTTGACTTAAAAATATATTTTAAGATTTATTTATATTTTCTTTTTGTATGTGTATTTACACACACATACACATATATACATACATACATATATATATACATATACATATACATATACATATACATATATATATGCACCCTGTGTGTGCCTGATGCCCATGGAGGCCAAGAGAGGGTGTTGGATGGGAGCCACTGTACAGTGGTGCTGAGAACCAAACCAAGTGTCCTGTAAGAGCAGCAAGTACTCTTAACAACTGAGCAGTTTCCCCAGCCCCCTGACTTAAATTTTTTTCTTATTTCAAAAAAAACCCCACACATATTTATGTTAAGCAAAATAACTCAAAGAAGTGCAAATATGGCATTGTGGGATATTTGTACACTGTGTGAAGATGCATGCTGTGGTTGGTGTAATAAAGAGCTGAATGGCCAACAGCTAGTCAGGAAAGGATAGGTAGGATTTCCTGGGAGAGAGCGGAGGAAGAAGAGGAAGAATCTAGGTGCTCAAATTATGGCAGCAAGGTGCCAGGGAGACACTGAAAAGGTTGGACATATGATACAGAGTAGAGGTAACTGAGCCACATGGGAGAAAGTAGTTTAATAAAAGCAGGTTAATTCAAGTTAGAAGAGCTAGCTAATGTCCAAGGTTTCATATTCAATAAGTCTCTGTGTCATTATATGTGGGCTGGCAGTTTTGATGAGAAAGTACTGCCACAATATGGTGTGTTTTCTCTCATGTGAGGAACTTAGATATAAAAGTGTGTGTGTGTG